AAATAAACAAAAAAAAATTAAATAAAAAATAAAAATAAAATCGAAGTTTACCTTCGAAATTAAAGTTCTTCGGCGTCCTAGACCTACAAAGAAAGAGAAAAACGAACGTTAGTGATGAACGTTCGTTAAAAAAAAGAGACTCCTTTTTTTTTGAAGTTATTTACTTTTGAAATTGAATCTGAGACACATACTTTCGGCGTCTTGGACCTACAAAAATGAAAACGAACGTTAGTTAATGTTCATAAAAAAAACTAATAAAAATAAACACTTTTGAAGGATATAAATGATAATATACCTTCGAAATGGAGCTCACGAAGCGTCCAGAGTGCCGTAGTCCTACAAAAAAGAAAAACGAAACATTAGTAAACGTTTCGCTAAAATAAAAGAAAAAAAGTAAAATGAAATTTCAAAGCCTTACCTTCGAAATAGGAGACCGGAACCTGCCTTTCGGTTTCTTGTACGGTTGTACCTACGAAAAGTAAAAAAATGAACGTTAGAATTAGTAACGTTCATTAAATAAAATAATAAAAAAAAAATCGAAGATTTTACCTTCGATATGGAAGTTCTTTCGGCTTCCTTTACCTAAAAAAAAAGAATAACGAACGTTAGTGAACGTTCGTTTAAATAAAAAGAAAAAAAAATTCGAAGGTTTGTTTTACCTTTGATATAGGAGCCCGGAACTCAGTTTTGGCTTCCTTTATCTAAAAAAATAAGACGAAACGTTAGTTAACGTTCATCAATAAAGTTAACAAAAAAAAAAAAATTTTTTTTTCGAAGGTTTTACCTTCAAAGTAAAGTCCGGAGCTGGTTTTGGCGTCCAAGACCTATAAAATATAAAAACGAACATTAATTAACGTTCGTTAAATAATAATAAAAAAAAAAATCGAAGGTAAAGGTTTTACCTTCGAAATTAACGTCCGGAGTTGTACTTTGGCGTCCAGGACCTATAAAATGTAAAAACGAACGTAAATTAACGTTCGTAGGTATAAATAAAATAAAAAAAAATTCGGAGGTAAATTTTACCTTCGAAATAAATGTCCGGAGCCGTACTTTGGCGTCCAGGACCTAAAAAAAAATAAAAAA